TCTTCTCTGACCTTCTCTCTTCTACTCTTCTCTTCTCTGTGACCCTTCCCATCTCTACTTTTCATCTGTCCATATTGTCGGAAGTTTTAACTTCTAAACTTCCTTCGAATATGTATATATGCACCAGGCCCTGCCGCCCCCCCCCCCCCCGCATGGGATGGGTCCCATATTGAGATCTTCCTCCTCCCCCCCCCTGTGGTGTGGTGGGGGTGTGGTACTGTCCCCCCTCCCACCCTGTGGTGTGGTGGGGGTGTGGTATGGTATGTTGGGTATGTATGGTGTGTATGGTCGGTCTGGTATGGCATGTTTGGAAAGTATGGTATGTTTGGTATGTATGGTAGGTATGGTATGTATGGCATGTATGTTTGCTATTGTATGGATGGTAGGTGTGGCAATTATGTTGCATATGTATGGTATATGTGGTATGTATGATAGGTATGATAGGTATGGTATGCATGGCATCATTGGAATGTATGGTAGGTACGGTATATGTTAAACACATGTAATGTTGTCAGAGTACACAGGTAGTAAATAGGAAGTAGATACATAACACATGTATATATATATATCACTATAGGTAGTACGTAGGCGTCACGTAGGTACTTTGAGGGAGTATATAGGTCACCTAAAAGGTAGCATGTACCTAGTAAATGCGAGGCTGGTAGTCAGAAATGCTGCAAAGACCTAGCAAATACGAAGCTGGACCTCAGAAATGCTGCCAATAGCTTGCCAATAGAAGGGAAGGGGGGATGCTACCTAGGCACCCAGCACCGTCCCCCCCTCCCCCCCCTGTGGTGTGGTGGGGGTGTGGTACTGTCCCCCTCGCCCCTGTGGTGTGGTGGGGGTGTGGTATGGTATGTTGGGTATGTATGGTGTGTATGGTCGGTCTGGTATGGCATGTTTGGAAAGTATGGTATGTTTGGTATGTATGGTAGGTATGGTATGTATGGCATGAATGGTGGTATTGTATGGATGGTAGGTGTGGCAATTATGTTGCATATGTATGGTATATGTGGTATGTATGATAGGTATGATAGGTATGGTATGCATGGCATCATTGGGATGTATGGTAGGTACGGTATATGTTAAACACATGTAATGTTGTCAGAGTACACAGGTAGTAAATAGGAAGTAGATACATAACACATGTATATATATATATATCACTATAGGTAGTACGTAGGCGTCACGTGGGTACTTTGAGGGAGTATGTGTGCTGCGTAGGTCGCCGAAAAGGCAGCATGTACCTAGTAAATGCGAGGCTGGTAGTCAGAAATGCTGCAAAGACCTACCAAATAAGTGGCTGGACATCAGAAATGCTGCCAATAGCTTGCAAATAGAAGGAAAGGGGGGGTGGTACCTGGGGACCCAACCCATGGGGGGGGGGAGGGGGGGGGGGGAGAGACGGAGGACGGGACCATATATACCTGAAAGACCCTGAAAGAGTCCGTCGCTATATATTGATATATTAACGTATATTAACATCCATGGCTCCTTGCATCTCCTTGCATAAACGTAAACTTCGTTCTTCAATGCCGCACTTGTTTCTAATAGCTAAATGCTTTGCGTGCGATGCCTACCTCGTTCTCAGAGTGTTCCTACCTGGTGTTACAACCTAAAATATGATGTTTTCGACAAACTGGTACGCCACAATACTATTCACCATTTAACCATATATAAAGCCGTTGCTCATATAAACAACATCATGTTTATATAAGCAGATCCAGAACAGGTTCTAAGTACAACGTCCAGTGGTTCTATCTCGTGGGTGGCGAAGTCATTCTAACTATCAATTTGATCATTCTTCTCGTGAGGTCGGATTTTCGCCAACTCTTCCAAAAGGGTATTCTAAGCTTAAGTCCGGCAATATACTAATGAACAATATACATTACTGGTATTGTACATTAATATACATTATATATTCCTCAATGCTCTTCCAAGATGGCGTCTTTGTGGTATTATGACCACCCATGACCACCCATGTCAAACACGTTCAAACTTCAAACGCAGTCTGCCGAGGCTTCGGTTCAACTCAGCACAGAGACAAAGAAGTTGTCACTCTTCAGGTTGGGTGGGGGCAGTCAATGAAGCTGGTGTCCCAACAACAAGAGACATCAAGAGACAAACAAAGATTCTGCAATAAGTTTGGAAAAATTGGATAAGTTTAATAAGTTTGGAACTTTTTGAAGAGGACCGTTGCGAAGCAGGACATAAATTGGTTTGACACGATCCAGTTTTGAACTACTCGCCCGTTGAAAGAAGTTCATGACGAGAATTCAGCTCCAGTGCACAATACAATAAACTGGGCTTGGCTATGTGATTTTGGATAATGTAGAAGCCCCCATCCCACAAGTCGTATGGTTTACTCCACTACATCTTGGGAGTGAACCCACGGGTCTTGCCTCCTTCACCCTCAGATCGGCTGGCACTAATGGGCCTGGCCTTCCCAAATGCAAGAAGCATGCGTGCGAAACAGAAGGTGTACGACAAGAACCATGTCAAAAACGGGCAACATTACCCAGTGGGAAACGAAAGAACATGATGGAATATCAAAATATCATAGAATTTCATAGAATATCAAGTAGCAAAAGGCTGGCAACTCTGTGACTGGCAAGGGAAGAGCCATCGCCGCTAGGCAGCCCCTTGTTTCTGCAATTTGTGCAATCTAGATGACACTCAATGACACTTAGACGTCTTGGACACTCAATTTGGACAAGACAAATCTGCGGAAAACGCATCAAGCTTCTTGCCCTGCAAGGGCCGTGCAAGCAAATTTAAATGCTATATGTGGAGCAGCAGCAGCAGGAGGAGGCCCGATGTGAGCAGTGCAGCACAAGCAAACTCAGGGCCCCAAAAAACTGCGCGGATAGGAGGAAGCGCCACGAAGAGCACAACATCAATCACAGCAACAAATCCAGAATCCAGAATGCTAAGCTTTGAAGCTCTGCCAGATGTGAAGAGGTTGAAGCCGATCTTCAAAGACTAGTATTACTACTGCATTGAATAGAAATCAACAGTGACGGGCTCAGTAGTATGAAGCTTGGCACGGGTCACAAACCAGGCAAAGCATGGCTGCTTAGCTTGGATCACAGGCGGGGCTGTGCAATATGGTGTGCATACTCAGACAGAACTGCTATAAAAATGTACAGTACACTCAGTACACTTCATTCAAAGATCGTAAATCAAACAGGTAGCGCAGACCCTGCGCAAGCCCCAGGCGGGCAATACAAAGTATGGGCTGGGAGAATCTGAGGCCCTTGATCAACACGCGCAAGACATTGTGTATTGATGAACTTCAAGCCAATCCCGCCAGGCCAAGGCAAGTTTGAAAGTTTATGAAAGTTTCATATATTTTCATATGCAAGTAGAAATCATACAAACCTCTTCCACATAATCCCACATATAAGAACGCTTTCGCAGGCACACTTGCACAACTGCATAGCTAAGTTGGGTGATCTCGAGGTTTTGTCTGCGTGCCCATCAAACCATCAGTCCTTGTTCGTGCAACATATTTCATCAATATTCAACTTGTTGTGTGGCTGAGAAAGCTGAATGGAAGTCATCTTATCTTGCATCATAACTTCACCTTGCAACAACTTAAAACATCTTACGCTTCTGGGCATGCACGGTTGCGGCTCTGCGGTTGCTTGGACATGCAGCTTGATAACAAGATTAACAAGAAACACGCGCGCACCACATTGATCCGGGCTGCACGACTACTTCTATGATATTCTATGTATCCCGCTGTATCCCCTTGTGAATTTCAATTGTCACCCAATGTGCCCCATTCTATAGAGGTACCTGGGTTCCACCATATCATATGGGTGCACACAAATAATCACTTTTAAAATCAGGAAAAAATAAGATTGCAAGAAATACGTCTCTATAAAATCAAGAAAAAACAGAGCAGCACATAGTTACAAATGCCTGCTTGTAAAAACCAAATCTCTATAAAATCTAGAGACAGGGTTAGAGTTGGAACACCTTTTTCCCCTTAGAGTATCTTAAAGTCATCCACCTGGCTCACTATAAAATCAGAATTTTCAAAATGGATCAAAATGGTGGTTTTACAAAGTCTATTTAACCATGTGGATGCTCAATATTGGGAAACCTGGTTTTTGATTTTATAGTGGAGCTGTTTGGCAGGCATGACGATATAAGGTGGGCCTGGATTTTTGATTTTATAGTGGGTTCAAAAATGCATCACAATGCGCTCATCCAGTATGATTCAGTGCTGTTTGACTTGAACACCTCCAACATAAAATATTAATGCGATGCGGCGATTGCGTATAACACCAAATTTGTATCAAAAACCTCCCCTCTATAAAATCATAATCTATGGGCCAACAAATCAGAACCATGCCAAAAATAGCCTCTCTATAAAATCAGGTTCCTGGGTCCCCCTGAACTGGTCATAAGCCACATGTTGGCTTACAAATGGTTACAAATAGCCTTCTATAAAATCAGGATATTTTTTTCGTAAATGTTTGAACACTTTGTGTACACACCTGGGCTGACTAAAATTATCGTTCTAAATTCTAAACGATACTTGGGTATTATAGAGGACATGTAAAGGGATATTTCTATGTAATCTATGTATCCAAATTGCATCGTCTACGCAGCAGCGTACACACGAAACGAATAAGCCAGAAGGACAAATAACATTTAATAAAACAAAAACAAACCTTGAAAGTACATGAAAGTACTCGGGTTTCGTCATGCGGTTATTTCTCTGCGCCTTGTTTATGATCGACAGATCCGGCTCCAGCACTGTGCTGCTCCCTGCAGACAAGGGCTCCATGGTCGCCTCCAGCCATCAAATTTGAGATCCTTTAGCATCCTTTAGCTGTATGCGATATCTGTATGCGTCAACGGGCCAGTTCTCTACCTGCACCTATTCAACCTATTCAGTGCCAAATGCTTCCTGTATGTTTCAGTTTCTCTCAGAATCTTCAAGTGCAGTACTCTACAAAAAATGATCCGATGAAAAGATTGGAGCCTTAACAATCTTGACAAAACTCCAGCGTGGAGCTCTCAAAATCGGTTCTTTGATGCTTGCGGGTTGCATAGTAGCTATCGTCCAAGGGAGGCTGGTAAGCCACGGTCTTGTCGTCCTGAAGCGGACACGGGGCCAATGTTCCAAGTATAAATACAATATATATAATATATATATACTACATATATAAACATTATATATATATATAGACGAGTATTTATAATTTATATTTATATCATCATAATTCATCATATATTATAATATACATACATACCACCCCTGCTCCAGGACTTTCACTTTGAACAACCTCAAATGGTGGCACTTGGCTTTTGCACACAAAATGTCAAAGAACACCTCAACCATAGAAACGTGTCATCAAACACAAAGGTAGTCGTTTTAGGATATGGATCTATTAGATCTGCAGAACGATTGGCTAGATTACCTTCTTGAGATCATGCATGATCAGGATAAGTCAGAGTCAGTCTTGTCTACACGGTGAGTACATTTGGAGTTACAATTCATCTGTAGGCTTGCTGTAGTGGATTCAAATGACAAATCACCTGCTACAAGTATACTGAAACTCTCTTGCCTCAACATTCAATACGTCCACTTACCCTGCTCAAAACAGGTGAATGCAACCTGCAGAAGGCCCGTGATGCTCTGAAATTATGTGGTGTTAAGTAGATATAAGATGATATAAGTAGTGCTGTGGAGCGTCTCAAGAGTAGAGTTTTGGGATGTATTCAGGACGAAGGATGCCTTTTGCTGCCTGGCTACCTCCTTCCGAATCATTCGGAGCTCTTCAAATAGTGTTTCGAAATTCTCAGCACCATGCCAAGACTTCAAATTCTGAAGCTCCTGCAATCAGAAAAAAAACGAAAGTAGTTTGAAAGTTTGACGTAGTTTGATCGCAAAGGAAGCCACCAGTAAGTTCAAAGGACGGGCTGTGCTCTGAAATGCCCAAAATCCAACAATATTATTATATTCAAGGTACAGTACGCGGCGGCACCCCTGCAATTTCACTGCAAATTCCACGTTGACTAACGTTGCTTATATGATATATGTGTATATGTGTAAATCTTTCAATGCGTTTGCATGCCGTATCATGCCGATCTCAAAGTGATCTATCGCAAATTTCAAACGCAACTCAAGCTCCTTCATGGTCTGAAAACCATCGTGACCTTCTTGTGGCTCCGTTGTCTCCTGCAAGGACAACAAAATATGAAGAAGCATCCCTTAGATTGAACTGCATTGCTGCAAGAACGAACATCAAAATACGCAAAAAAGTGCAACATAATAATGCTTCCTGGATTCATGGCCACTGTCCTGAATTTCCTCTGGCTGTATGGGTGAAATGCTTCGCGAGTGCCGTCTCTGCCAGAATGCAAGGCCAGCCACTACGAACACAGAGACAATAAGTATCTCGGAAGTAAAGGGTTGGGAGGCTGGCAAAGGACTGAAAACAAACACGCAGCTACGAGATGCAACGAGTACTTTGATATACTTTGATTCATTACTTAGGTTGGGACTGGAAAACTACTCATCTTCAATGGCTGTGCCGAAGAAGGCCACACATGCTGAAAAGGATCCAAACAATCCTGAAAGATACTAAACATTCTAATGTATACATATGTATACTAATGTGGGATTTTGACCAGTTGACAATAGATTGAAATAGACCATGTCGATTTATTTTGTTTCCAGGTCTGTTTCGGATTTAGCTGGCAGAAGCATCCAAGTCCAACTTCAGTTCAATAGGAGTTCAATAGGGAGTGGAGAATTCCCTCGCTGAGGCAGCCTGATGACATGATGATCCAAGTCGCTGAAGCGAATGCGATGGTGAAGATGGCAGCAATCGACAAGTTTTTGCCAGGTTCCTCCAAGACTTTGTAACTCTTCTCTGCGACCTCCGGGCAGCCAGGAAAACAGTTGACTTTTTCATCCTTTCGGCTGCATGGGGCTTCCACATTTTCCCACTGATCGGGAGATATTCAGTTTTTCAATGTTGTTCAGGCAGTCATGCACTTATATAAGAGAATAATAGCTAATATATATATTATTATATATTTATATATTCAACTGATCTTCTAATCGTTGAAAAACAAAGCCTTGGGCCCTTGATGCTGCTGATAGCTACTGTGCAAAGAGGCACTGCTATCTTCTTGCTGACGCGATTGGCGTTGCTCAAGCAATGCCAATCACGCTGTCTTCCGAACTGAAGCCTTTGTAAGGTTCCATCATGTTCCATTCCATCTTGAAAATTGTGTTTAATCATCAAACGAGTGGTGTTAGTGTTGACATCCGGACAAGAGTACCGGTCCAAGATGCTACGAGTACTTCAGTGGTCTTGCTGAGGCAAGCACTGTGCGGAATGCGTAAATGCCAGATGTCAAACCCGCAAACAGGTTGCCGGTCCCATCTTGAACCTATCGTGAAGCGAGCCGGAGATGGATTTTCAAGTCGGGGCCAAAAACTGTCCTTCCCTCTCAATTCACTCTGCGTTCCTTTCGTGACAGCTTGCAATGAGCTACCAACCCCTCCTCACCAGGATGGAATCATTCTAGATGGGTGAGATGTGGAAATGTAGTGCAAACAATGCAACCATTCCAAAAGCGTGACGAGTTGGTCTTGCATGGAAAACCAAACTTTCAACTGCGTTTAAAATGTTTAAATAATTTGAACTCTGCCTTGAATAATCAGTTTGCCAAGAAATCTTGCTTGTTCAATCTTTAAATCGTTTTTGAGCAGGGCAAAAATGGAATTCGCTAAACATCATCGCTGCGATGCCCAAACACTGCAGTGCTTGCGATGCTGACGGAATAGAAAACGTCATAGGTCCTTAGTAGCAATGTGGCATAAAATGGCAATATCAGTACTCTGTACATGATATTATTCTGGTGGAGATGGAATGGGTCCTTGGCCGCCATCCATAACACAAGGTTCTGGGGGAATTGCCTAGCTTGCCAGGTACACTAGCAATGTCGACGTTTGAGTTGGAGACTGCAAAGATTGCCGTGGCATACACTCACAGTCCGCATCTTCCTAAAGATAAACCTGTTCCATGCTGCATCATGCTGCTGACTGAGCCGGGTTGCAACAAACCATCCATTTGTATAGCCAGTGTATTGCCCTGAAGTTGGACTCGTGGTGACCGGCCCTTGGAACGTGAAAACCATTGAAAAACCATTGTAGCAGAAACATGCAGAAAGGATCAGAAAGGTTGATTTCCTGCTCTGAGCGCATCAACTGTTCTTCAAATATCCTGAAACCTATGCCTTGTTCATCCTTGTTCAGTTCTATTTTGCAACCCGAACTGAGCTAGTCGGACCTACAACTTTGAAATGGTGTCAACATGTGTCAACTACCAACTGCCTGAGTATGAAAACTGACCTCTTCCTGAGCAGCCTAAACATGATGCAAACACTCTGACCTGGAAGGTATCATTATTAAGTTGACTAGAATTAATTATATATCTAGAATGATATATATATATTATATTATATTATATACATATATAATATATACACGTATATTAAGTAGAATCGTATCAGAACGTGCTCAGAGCTCTGGCGATTCAGAGACAGAACTTGCATTTGCTTCTCCCTATCCGTGCCAGGATGCAGAGAAAATGGCCAGCACTTGATCTTCAGGGCCAGACAGTCCATAGCCACCCAGTGAGGTCAAGAAGAACAACCTACAAAGATCTGCAAAGTCTGCAAGGTGCTCTCGTGTGCAAAGTCGGATCACTTAAGGCTCGTAAGACCACAAATCTATAAGATCTGATCTGAGGTCTCTTGGGAAAGCCATTTGCATGGACGCCCAAAGTTTTTCGTCGGGTTAGCACCCAACTTCATCCCAACCTTGAAGAAGCCTGAGTCATCTACTACTTTGCACCAAATGTTATCCTAGGAAGTTTCCTTCCCTTTAGTGCACAGGAATGTGAATAAATATGAAGGAAGTGCGTCCAAGTTCACCAAATCTTTGCTACAGTTTCACCAAACAAAGAGGCATCATGTGGCATCTTGCTTGAAATGTAAGACCACTTGAGACATTCGTCACAATTGTTCCAAGACATTGGATCATAGTGCTTCGAATGCTTCGAAACAATGAGCAGTAATGAAATGTATTGAAATGTAACGAAGTCTCAGCTAGGCCACTCACTTGCAGCCGGGCCAAAGGAGATGCTCTCTGTAAACTTGAACTGTACGGTCACGTTCAGCGGTACATCCTTCGCCTATTTCAAATGTAGCTGGGCGCCCCGTGCGTATTTACAGCTTGGTCATATGATTTGTAGCATATCGACAAAAACATCAAAAACATAGACAACCGACCATGACACATGGACCCTTGGATTGAATGAGCCAAGCACGAGATATCAAAATGGACAAACAGGAATTCTAGACTGAACTGCTTCATCGAAACCATTTTGCTAATGATGTTCAAAAGGCACAGAACATACAAAAACTATCAAAAACTATCAAAAACTAATGTAAATGCAAACTACAAGCACTTGTAGGATCTTGTAGGAGTATTGATAAGCATTGTAATTCTAGGAGGCGCCGTCACCGGAGAACCATGACATTCGGTTTGTATATGTTTGTATCAAATTGTACGAGTACATACGAGTACTACTGCATTCCCCTACGTATGGGCGTCATGACCTATGTATGACGTCATCCATGATTAACAAACGAGGTCACAATGTCCATCCTGTACTCTTTACTGAACTTTACTGTCTCATAATGTCCCCAGCTCTGGAAAGGCCACATCTTTTTCTTGCCCAGCCTTGAATATGGTTCCGCTAATTTCCACTATTTCCAAGTCTAAGTGGTGCCAAATGGTGCCAATCTGAACTCAATCTGAGGGCTAAGAAGGGCTGATCAACATGGAAAGCCCTGATTTATCTGATTTGGACACCAAATGTCTCGCTACAAGTCACAGAATTCGCCGGTGAAGTCCCTTGTAGAGAAGGCGCAACAGTATCTCCAAGGACGAACCAGTGTGATCTCCAAGTGCTGTCGACTGGGACGTAGTACCTGTATTGCTGCAACACACAATGACCTTCCATAGTCCATCACCTTCCACTTTCCAACATTTTGAATTTCGAACAGTACCAGCAAGATGATCTCAGTTACTCTAAGATCTATTGTGAGATTGCATAACCTATAGCCTGCAGTATTTCTGCTTCAGCAACGGGGTCAACAGAACAGTCTCTCTACCTCGGGGGTTTGTGGAATTTTGCAACGGTACCCTGACTTGACAAAGCAAGCTACAACACTCAAACGTCAAACACCGGCCTCAATTTACCATATCTCAGAGCCCTATTTCCAATCCTAATACAATGCCGTACTGAACCTGGGTCCCCGAAACTCAGCATCTCGCCCAAGCAAAATAGGGTTCTGGCGAATCAAGTATAGATCCTTCGTACATGACTAGCTGGCAATATCCTTGCTGGCTGCCGGCATCTTTCACCATTTTCGCAAACCATTGGAACGTGGGACGAAATGTGTCGAAAGCCAGGAAATCGCAGCTTATTGCATCAAATCAGACGCAAACTGTCTCTATGTGTACTTGCGTTTTAAATCAATATGCAAAAATACGATAAACATCGATAAAATACGATAAAATCAAATTGCCTGAATATCTCTGAATATCAGAATAGCCAAGGATCGTTCTCTTAAGTCATTTGGCACTTGCCTGGCGTCGATGTGCAGTGTATCCTGTGGAGCCATTGCTGGGAGTCAAGAAAAAATGCGACGAAAAAACTAGGACAAAATGGACAAGTATGGCATAAGTGGATGCATAAGTATGGACAAGTACAGGCAAGATCAGCCATGTTTATAATTGACCCCAAAGATTTTTATATGGGACCCCATCTTTTTTAAATATGGGACCAACATGGAGCAACAATGTTTGTTATTCTCCAACCTGGACCTCCCAAACCGGCACTCCCTCTTCAAGAGTGGAGTTACATCAGGTGGCAGCTTTTTCATAGGAATTGGATATGAAAGTAGTGCTTCACGACCGGTGGGAATGGGGCTGGGATAAACTTCGAATTGGTTGATAGTTGTACAACAAGGGATCAATCGAGCCTCTGCATGATGTAGAAGCTCTATCCCTACTGCTTATTGGGGGGGGCGTGGGCTAATTGTAACTTACATTTTTGGGCATATGCTACCTCAAAAATGTAACTTACATTTTTGAGGTTACCTCGATAAATGTAACTTACATTTTTGAGGCGCTATCCAGGATTTTTTTCATTTGAAACCTGAAAATTGTAACTTACATTTTTGAGGCAACATCAGAAATTGTAACTTACATTTTTGAGGTGTGTGGCTGTGTGGCACTGACCTTGTTGCCCAACAATTCCCAGCCAATCGCCAGCATAATCCAGCATACACAAAAAAAATATAATTAGTACGGTTCCTGTGCACCATTGGTTGCTCATTTCCAGCATTGGGTTCATTTGATGGGATTGCATGTTCCTGCAGGGTCCCCCAACATTGCTGCAAGATCCCAAAACCCCACAGGAAAGAGGCCTCAGCAATGCCAAATTACATTTTGTGGGTGTATTCTGGGAACAGTAATTATGATGGAATCTTATGATGTGTCATTTGGCATTTTTCCTCATTAAAAGTTTGGGTAGATGGTCCCACAGTGACCAAAGATAGTGAAATACTAGGCTTTTCACACCTGGGGACCCCCAACTTACAATTAGTACGGTTCCTGTGCACCATTGGTTGCTCATTTCCAGCATTGGGTTCATTTGATGAGATTGAATGTTCCTGCAGGGTCCCCCAACATTGCTGCAAGATCCCAAAACCCCACAGGAAAGAGGCCTCAGCAATGCCAAATTACATTTTGTGGGTGTATGCTGGGAACAGTAATTATGATGGAATCTTATGATGTGTCATTTGGCATTTTTCCTCATTAAAAGTTTGGGTAGAGGGTCCCACAGTGACCAAAGATAGTGAAACACTAGGCTTTTCACGCCTGGGGACCCCCAACTTACAATTAGTACGGTTCCTGTGCACCATTGGTTGCTCATTTCCAGCATTGGGTTCATTTGATGGGATTGAATGTTCCTGCAGGGTCCCCCAACATTGCTGCAAGATCCCAAAACCCCACAGGAAAGAGGCCTCAGCAATGCCAAATTACATTTTGTGGGTGTATGCTGGGAACAATAATTATGATGGAATCTTATGTTGTGTCTTTTGGCATTGTTCCTCATTAAAAATTTGGATAGGGGGTTCCACAGTGACCAAAGATAGTGAAATATTAGGCTTTTCACGCCTGGGGACCCCCAACTTACAATTAGTACGGTTCCTGTGCACCATTGGTTGCTCATTTCCAGCATTGGGTTCATTTGATGAAATTGAATGTTCCTGCAGGGTCCCCCAACATTGTTGTAAGATCCCAAACCCCACAGGAAAGAGGCCTCAGCAATGCCAAATTAGATTTTGTGGGTATATACAGTAATTATGGGATGTGTTATTTGGCATTTTTCCTCATTAAAAATTCCCACAGTGACCAAAGATAGTGAAATACTAGGCTTTTCACGCCTGGGGACCCCCAACTTACAATTAGTACGGTTCCTGTGCACCATTGGTTGCTCATTTCCAGCATTGGGTTCATTTGATGGGATTGAATGTTCCTGCAGGGTCCCCCAACATTGCTGCAAGATCCCAAAACCCCACAGGAAAGAGGCCTCAGCAATGCCAAATTACATTTTGTGGGTGTATGCTGGGAACAGTAATTATGATGGAATCTTATGTTGTGTCATTTGGCATTTTTCCTCATTAAAAGTTTGGACAGGGGGTCCCACAGCGACCAAAGATAGTGAAACACTAGGCTTTTCACACCTGGGGACCCCCAACTTACAATTAGTACGGTTCCTGTGCACCATTGGTTGCTCATTTCCAGCATTGGGTTCATTTGATGGGATTGAATGTTCCTGCAGGGTCCCCCAACATTGCTGCAAGATCCCAAAACCCCACAGGAAAGAGGCCTCAGCAATGCCAAATTACATTTTGTGGGTGTATGCTGGGAACAGTAATTATGATGGAATCTTATGTTGTGTCATTTGGCATTTTTCCTCATTAAAAGTTTGGACAGAGGGTCCCACAGTGACCAAAGATAGTGAAACACTAGGCTTTTCACACCTGGGGACCCCCAACTTACAATTAGTACGGTTCCTGTGCACCATTGGTTGCTCATTTCCAGCATTGGGTTCATTTGATGGGATTGAATGTTCCTGCAGGGTCCCCCAACATTGCTGCAAGATCCCAAACCCCACAGGAAAGAGGCCTCAGCAATGCCAAATTACATTTTGTGGGTGTATTCTGGGAACAGTAATTATGATGGAATCTTATGATGTGTCATTTGGCATTTTTCCTCATTAAAAGTTTGGACAGAGGGTCCCACAGTGACCAAAGATAGTGAAACACTAGGCTTTTCACACCTGGGGACCCCCAACTTACAATTAGTACGGTTCCTGTGCACCATTGGTTGCTCATTTCCAGCATTGGGTTCATTTGATGGATTGAATGTTCCTGCAGGGTCCCCCAACATTGCTGCAAGATCCAAAACCCCACAGGAAAGAGGCCTCAGCAATGCCAAATTACATTTTGTGGGTGTATTCTGGGAACAGCAATTATGATGGAATCTTGTGATGTGTCATTTGGCATTTTTCCTCATTAAAAGTTTGGGTAGAGGGTCCCACAGTGACCAAAGATAGTGAAACACTAGGCTTTTCACGCCTGGGGACCCCCAACTTACAATTAGTACGGTTCCTGTGCACCATTGGTTGCTCATTTCCAGCATTGGGATCATTTGATGAGATTGAATGTTCCTGCAGGGTCCCCCAACATTGCTGCAAGATCCCAAAACCCCACAGGAAAGAGGCCTCAGCAATGCCAAATTACATTTTGTGGGTGTATGCTGGGAACAGTAATTATGATGGAATCTTGTGATGTGTCATTTGGCATTTTTCCTCATTAAAAGTTTGGACAGAGGGTCCCACAGTGACCAAAGATAGTGAAACACTAGGGGGGGGAAGGGGAGGAAGGGGGGGGAGGAGGGGAGGGGCGGGGCTCATTTTGCCTACGGTTTTCCCCGGACAAATGAAAGAAAATGGACTGATCCGGTGTTTGCGGGATCATGTCAAGCCACGTTCCGTCGTATTTCTGGACCCAACGCTGTCTGGGTACTTGGTACCCTGGGACGTATTCTACTTGAGTGGTATTGGGATTAACTCTATAGTACGACGGCTGATCATAACTGTAACCGTAATTACGGTGTCCGGAAGAGCTTGAAGCTGTTCCTTGGCTAAGCCATTGCGAACCCGACAGGCGGGATGGAGGCGCAGGAGGCTCAGGTACGTTAATAGGCCTTTTTCTGGTTGTTTGCCTTTGGTCGGCCTGCTGCGATCTCTGCCTCTGGTCAGCCTGTTGTGTTCTCTCTCTCCACGGCGGTGGAGTCTTCGGTGGTCCTGGCGGATCAGGTGGCGTTCGAGGCTGTTGTGAACCTAATGTTCGTCCGGGAGCCGGAACTGGAGGAGCCTTTACAGGAGGCCTTGCACCTGAGGAAGATCCTGATGACTTCGGTGCGGATGTTTCTCTTAAGGATCTTGGTGCAGCTTTATATTGCACTGGTCTGGCTTTCTCTGCTGGAGCTCGCACTGGTGCCGGAGGCGGTGCTGGTGTTTCAGCTCTGGGTCGATATGCTCTGGTCCTGCTGACCGATCGACTTCTAGTGCGTCCAACATTTCGGTGTGTATCAGTCCGCAGAGGCGGAACACTGTCTCTCCTTTCTTCTCTTTTGTCGAGATATCCTTGAGTTCTCTGCATCCATTTTTCACGTCTTTTATCTTCAGATTCCTTGGAACGGATGCGCATATTTTTCAATGCCTTTAGGGAGGCATATGTAAGGAGAGGTGAGTGCCATGCACAGTCCTTTTCTGCCAGACCAAGGTCATATGCCATCAAATGTTTCAACTGTTCAACATCGTTCAACATAACTTCATCGGAAAAGGCAGATCCTGCAAATCCATCGGCAGAAGCGGATTCTTCTTTTGCACGTGCTTCCGTGACAGCCATCTGCTTACCGTAACAAAGAGAAATTAAAAGCATTGAATCACAATCAGCATCATCTCCACGCATGCTTCGGATGTAATCAGCAGCAGTGGTCGATGAAACTACGTTATACGTAATACGGTTTATCGGACTGCGGGGAAGATTAATCTGCTGAAGGAAACGCTCCAAAATGTCGATAAGGATGCAAGTCCGGTAGTCGGAATGATCGTCTGCTTTAAAGCTTCGCTGTGCGAAAAGATTTCCGTCACCGGACAAAAAGTCACACTGATGTTCGATACAGCTTGCGACAAATTGGAGCCATTTTTGGCACGTTTCTTTATAGGCATTACTCCATGC